TTAATATTTCAAGCGATCCACAAGTTTCTTTTCGGAACCTTTTAGGAAACGATGGATTTTCATRGCTTATTTTTATTTTCATATCAATTTAAGTTTATGTATTTGATAACAAAATAGTGAATTAATACTCTGTTGAGAGACAAGTCTCAGCGTTGCTGAGTGCATAAGTGAGATATAGAGTTGTCAAAACAAAGATTTGCTGACATTGTCATGTTATCTGTTGTCACTTGTCAAAGAGATTTCATGAAAGCCTATACTCAAGMGAATATAACGCGTTACACAATAACGTTTTTTTTTGATTAAAAAAAACATTTGATGGACATACAAAAACTGATACAAACTTTGTGAAAATCCACGAAAATTAACTATTAGCAGTCTTTTTTTAAAAAATCAACCAAAAATAATAACCTTTATTTCACATAAAAATTCGTTCATTGTAACGCCGTCATTTTGATCAATACCATGATGCACTTCGCTGAAACAAGCATGACGTCATAAGTAGAAAAGACCATTCAAGTTATACTAACCTCATTTTTCTTGTGGACTTTATTCACAAGTTCACGGTGTTCYTGGTGAACTTCGTCAATACGTCGCTCGACTCCACTCCGCTTTTCCTCCGATGATTTTTCGGAAATCTGGAAACCAACCTTCTTAACATGGTCGACGTCGTTTCGTAGGTTGACTAAGTCGTTCTTATAACTCTGAAAAYGAATGAGAAAAGATATAAAATACATGATAAGCTACAAAAATAAAAAAGGGAGTCGATAAGAATTTAAATGTTGGGCCGAATGTCATTGTTAGTATTCAAAGGACCATCATCAACCAGAATGCAATGCAGTCGTGATACAGATTTCCCATATATAGAAAATAAAGTGACTTCAAATATCCATTCACAATCCGTTTCCATACGTCAGTTTTAAGAGAGAACCTTGCAATATTTCTATTCATATAGTATAAAGGGATAATAAASAGTAAATTATTCTGCATTTTAGTTTAGGATGCCGACTGGTGAAGTKCTTTTGATGTTTGWTGTTGATGAATTAACGACGAATGAATATTGTCAAGATTAATTATTACCCACAATCCCTTTTACAACACCAATATACAATGGTAATTATGCCAAGTAGTCCATTTTTAGAACAAAGYATGTTGGGAAATTTATTCCTAGAAGCGTTTGTCCTGTTTATGTCAGCTACAATGAACTGACTACTTTAATTTCTGAAGAAAAATAAATAAATCCACAGACACATAACAGATTTGGGATTACTTTGGCGGACATGAGGAGTGTGAGGACAGCTTTTCGATCATGCCTTGTTCAAGAGCGCTCAAACTGCGAAGCAATTGTCTTTTCATAAAAGAAAAGCCATCAAAAAACCTTTCAATTTGCTTTAGATGATGTACAAGCACAAAGGACGTGTCAGGCATGCTTTTATAAAGAACACTTCGAAAGACGAAGTCAATACACAGCACTGAAAGCTTATTATTAAGACTGTGACAACAAAACTTCAAATATCGCCCACATGGTTAAAGAAAATTATTAAAAACTGTTTCAGACAATGAATTACGAAGATAATAGCAATATGTTTGGTGTTAATGGCAAAATCAAGTCGAGAACTAACAAAAATATATATATTTGTAAAATTGTGATGAGGAAACACGATCCATAAGATTCGTTTTGCAACATTGCAATTTATGTTGCATTACTTTCAAAAAGTAAAACAAGGCATTTCAAATAACTCGTTTGTTATRAAAAAAGAAACTATACAAGACGAAGACATCCTCGAAAGTACATTATAGTAACTTACATATTTCTTACCTCTCTAAGAGAATTCAAACGATCTCGAAAACTTTCAAACATTCTCTTTCAATTTGCATTTCAAAATTCAAATGGCATCTGTTTCAATAACAATTCTCAGTAAAACTTCCAGAAGAAAACATTGCCTTTAAAATTCTTCATTATCAAGACATAATGCTCTGAGCTTTACTGACGTAAAARGCAAGGTGTTATTTCTTTGACAGTGAATTGAAAATTTTCTCGCGCCTCGCTGGCGTCGACACCAATCGGACGAAACGCGCCACTCCAAAGCGTTTTCAAGAGAAAAAAAATATGTAAAATTAATTAGGTTCTACAGGGGGATATAATTTCGATAATATTTAAAATTTAATGTCGTGAACAAAGAGAGTGAGAAGCAAATTTCGGTTTTCAAAAGGCGAGAAAAGGTTTCCAACTGAGGTCAGAAATTTGTGCTTCTTTCTAGAATAACACAAKAGTAGGASCTAAAATGACCTCAAAATTACAGRRTTGTGAGCTGGTAAAGAAGCTAAACAAACACAAAAATTCAAAACAGCAATTYGAAGAAAAAGATGGCCTTTAATATTGAAGTATWTTCGAAGAATTAACTTGGAAATATTTGCATTTTTATTACACGATTAACTGAAACTTCACYTAACGATAGACGTCACAATTTGAAACTATAGGTAATCCCCAAAAAGACTGATTTGGGAAACGAAAGAAGACAATAAAAAWCACAAAAGAAATTAAAGGAATATTATAAAAGGAAAAAAGCTTGAGTTATATKTTCGTCYTARAGAAATTATARCAAACTGAAACTACATCAAAATAAACGGGAATTTTTCAGTTKTAAGAAATGAAAGTGATGGAAAATGCGTTAGAAAAATTCAAATGCTAGTTACTTGAACAGCTTGATGCACAGAGAGGGGCTTTCGCCAAAAGCTTAATGACTGTCAAGAAAAGAAACCTTAATATGATGATTTTTTTCCTTCGAATAACAACTTAAAACAGATGTTTTTCTCTACTTTTTCATACAATTTAAATAGTTTTTAATCTTGACTTTTTGGGCATAGTCAACAAAGTTGAATGAAAACTTATGAATACATATCGTTTTCGAAATGACAATTTTACATAAATAACTTCTTAGCTARCTTTAACTGATTTTCGTGTAAAGACAAACGTAACTACATCGAAATTAAGCAATGATTCATTCTCAGTGAGCCATTGAATTTTTGGATTTGAAAAGAAGTCGTCCGCTAGTCAAACTGTTTGCGAACAATYAAGAACTATAATGAATTCTAAATTTCCTGTGGATAGCTTGTTAAGACTGTTTTTTTACTAGGACTTAAGTTAAGCATGGCTTATGAACGCCGTATCTCTCGTGTGTTGAAGTCAATGTAAATGATATGATAACGAGCAAAAGATTGGAAAAATTTGCATTGAAGGTCAACTACTAACCAGCATGCAATGCGGTCATGGTTTCAATTTTCATACATATAGAAAATCGGTCATTTTCATGTGACTTCAGTTTTCCATTCGTAATTTGTTTCTATCCGTCAGTTTTAAGGTCAAATCTTACARTAACTTTACTCAAAGAGCACAAAGGAATAACAAAAAAAATTTTTTGCTTAAACAAAAGCTCGCAAGGGGTGCTGGTCCTTAAATTTAGTACATCTGAGATTTGACAGCAATTGAAATGAACCTAAAAAATAWTTTTTACACAAAAACATACCAGACATTGTTCCTGTAAGCTCTTGATATCTCTTGGATCGCCAGACACAAGCTTGAGTTTCTTCACACCTCGGCTAATTTTATCAAGCTTCGACATGRCGTCACCAACCAACGCCTCAAACTCGGTCCCAAGCTTCTTCATCGGTTGGTCTTTCAGCTCGGTAAATTGGGTGTGGATTGTCTTCCACTTTGATCTGAGCTTCTCCAGATCACGTACGTACGTCATGTAAGCACTRCCGTGTGGTCCTTGACTGAGCTCTTTACAGACCTTCTCTACGGAGTTGATGAGGACCTCATTGGTGGAAAATTCTTCAGTCAAAGCCTGGATGAGAAATGCAAGAAAGCACGGTTTTTAGTGGAACGTTTTCTCACCGTCGAGCACTCAGTCCTGACACACAATTTCACAAGTTGGTCAAACGCCTTCAAAATTGAACGCTCTATCCGACATCATCCAACACCATCAAGCAAGATGTCCAAACGCCTTCAAACTCAATCCAACATTTTGAATGTTCAGTCAAATAACACCCATCACCATTAAACAAGGAGGCCATGCGTCTACAAACTACATCAAACACGTTTAATGCTCCATCCGACAACATCTATTCGTCCTTCAAACAATGTGACCAAATGATACAATGTTGGATTTTGATAGCGCGGTGTAATAAAAAATATCTCGCTTKTTTGAACAGTTACCTTAAGTTCGCGTTCATCTATGTCTTCATATTTATCGATCCTTGTTGTGATAAAGACTTCAATCTTGCTCATCCAAATCTGWATGGCTTCAAAGTCTTTGCGCATTTGCTGCCTCTTGTTCAGTTCACCTTCTATGACCTGAAGTCGRAAAAAATTATCGTCAGTATCCTCTAAACTTTGGATTTTATTACCGCTGCAATCAAAAGTGTCATTATCATTATCATTATCATCATCATCAGCAGCAGCAGCAGCATCTTTTTTTCAATTGCATCTACCTGTTGTCAAAAAGATTAACAGTTCACTTGATTCAGTGTGTTAGGGTGACTTCATCCGAGGTTTGTTCTGTCAATATTGACACGGAGGGAGGGGGGTTTCAATAAAAGTAGCAAAACGTTACGAAAGTATCTTCCGATGTGTTGGGTTGTTCAATATTGGCTGGGATACCTGTTATTATAATCATTATTTAAATCTTAAAGTGCTACTTACATGAAAATGGCCTTATTTCAAAACTTCAAGCAATACAAATATATGACTCTCATATATCTATTAAAAACAATTGCGGGAAAATATTTGTTTTGGAATTGTCCTACATCAGATAAATTTTGATTCAAAAGATGGAAGAACAAAAGAATGGAGTAAATGACGTCATCTACTCCAACATTTTTTGCCCAAATTATCAAGGATTTGTATCAATATCTTCTTGAAATCTGTTGCTTCATGATTATTAGAACCATATGGATAAGTCTATTTGATTTCCAAGTCTTTTTTTAATGTTCACAATTTTCGTCCAAGTAGCCCTTTAAAGACCTCCAGTATGAGAGGGAGCAAGACCAAATGCACACTTTGTTAACCACAGATTACCTGTTTTGTCCTGTCTGCTCGGTTCTTCATTGCRTTCAGTCTCTCAAGGAACTCGTCTCTTTGTCTGGTCACAGAGTTCACCGAGATCTTTTTACTGATCAGACGGTTTGAKATGTCTTCGACTGATCCTGGTCCAGCCATCTTGAGCATAGCCAGATGACGATTCAGGTTCTGACACCAAACAAMAGATGATGTGACGGGAATCGTTTAGCGGAAGAAACAATGAAGGCGAGATGAAATGGGAGGAAGGGGATTGGAGGAAATAAGGGAACAAGGCATGAGTAAGACAGTACATGAAACTGAACAAATGAATAGAAGAGGGAAAAAGGAAGGAAATAGGAGTAACTATGGCTGTTATAGCGAAAATACACAAAACACCTGGGAGTCCCTTAGACTAAGGAATATCTCTTTTCACACTTACAACCAGAGGGATGCAAGGGGAAAATAGAAGGAAGGGTGGGATGCAAGAGGGAGGGGCTTTAAAACGTTTATACCGTACAATATATTTCTGCGTTTTAGTTCAAGTTCATCATAGACAAGGCTCTTCTGATATTTCTCTGATGAAAAATGTTTCTTAACATGCTTACCCTCAAGGCTTCTTCGAGCTGAGCTTCTGTTCCTTGTAAGCTATTATAACTGTCTTCAGCTACTTTATCGATCTCAGTAATCAGCTTTTTGTCTCTTTGGATGGTCATGTGGAATTGCTCCATCTCCGATTGAATGATCTTAAATTCATGCTGCCTCTGAGCGACCTACAACACAAACAAACACAATYTAATGACTTTAATGATGGATCCCCAAMTTGACCAATCAAATCATACCTTRTTTTTAAGYCTGGACCAATCACTGTTMAGCTTCTTTAGRCTTTCTACAAGTGGTTTAGCGGAGCCTTGTTTGGTGTGATCAGCAAGCTGATTGGCTGTGGTGTTGATGCGTACCACAACGGGAGCACGCTTTGAAACGTCTTGCTGTAAATCCTGAAAAGAACATGATCACTAAAGTCAAGAAATGACACATGCAAAATGGTCTGGCCGTGTGTTTTTATCATCATCATCATTATTGTCATCATCATCATCATGGTCATCATCATCATCAGTATCATTAGCATCAGCATCATTAGCATCACCATCACCATGAGCATCAGCATCACCATCATTATGGCTATCATCATCACCACCATCATTATCATCATTATCGCCACCATCATCACCTTATAATGGTCTATCTTCTCTTTAGTAATCTCTCCGCTAGCAATATCCCTATCATCATCAGCAATAGATCTCTCAGTCTGTGTGATCCAGTGACTCATYTCYTTCATATCATGRTTAAGTTTTTGRTATTTCTCCAAAGCAGCCAGGAGATTGTCTTTGACACGGTGTGCGTGACGTACTAACGCGTCCCATCGGTTTGTCACGTCATCTTGTTGTGTGTGAAGCCGCTGGGCGTAGGTAGGCGTGGCTTTAGCCAACATGTAGGTCGCGGTCTCATTAAGCGAATCGAGTTTGCGTTGCAGCTTTGTGATGTCACTTTGGAGTGCCTATACGAGTTAAACAAGATTCGTTAGTTATTTTCTATCGACAGTAAAAGAGGCGGTGGACGCTTCGGGACGAACTCGGGACGAACTCGGGACGAACTCAGAAGGAATGCCGAGGGTGTCCGAATGGGACCCGAGTGTAGGTTCTCAACACACTGCTTACACTGTACTACAATCATTCTATACTATCAATGGGAATAAACTCGGACTCCGAATGCATACCGAAGGTTTTCCGAATGGGGCCCGACTAAGGGCCCTCAACACAGTGCTCACACTAATACTGCCGCGCATCCCAAGCTTCAACATTCCTTTTACACCACAGGAAGCCCAGACATACCTCACTCTGATCCAACTGTGCCTCGAGGGTTTCGGGATCACCCGCAGCCGGTTCCTGGTCATTCAAAAAATCGTTCACCTCAGCAATCCATTTGTTCAGACCCTTTAATTCATCAGCGAACTTGTTGTTTTGGTTGATAGCTTTCTGCGCAAGCGTTTGGCGTTTTTCTATCACCATGATAACATCTTTCCATTTATTGTTGACGTCAGTAAGTTTGGCTCTCAGYTGCTCGAGTTTCTGWCGAGGYAGTGACTTCATGAATTTGTCTGAGGTGCTGTTGAGGTAGTCGATGTTTCTTTTCTGCTCTTGTAGCGTGGTTTGAATTTGCTGTAAAGAATATTCATAATCGTTATTCGATACTTTGCATCAATCTTCATTTTGAAAAAGAAAATCAATCTCCTACATCGATCTTCTTAAACAAACATTTTTCCCACTGACGTTCAATGACGCAGAGCAATAAATAGCATATACAGTTCGAGGCTAAATCACATTCGTTGCCTAAATCCTGGAACAATTCAAGTGTATTTCCTTATGTTAAGTAACACCAACAGACAATTTCATCCCCCCTGACCCCCTAAATGCAATGTTGTCATTGATCATGTTACCATAGTACACAAGCATCCAAAACAAGACCCAACACTGATGAAAGGGRRCTAAGTGTGAGAAGGGCGAAACATTTTGGGTCGAAGATGACATATTATATGGTTCACAGTATTTTAGCAACGATTGTAGAACACAAATTTAAAGTCCTGTTCATCCGTTCAGTTCATCATTCATTCATCCATCCATTCCTATGCATTTCGCCCTTATTACCTTATTCCTTCTAATCTGGTCCTCAAGTCCACCAACTTCAGTGATTTGAAAATCCCCACCCAACGAWGTCTCAGCGTTYTTAATGCTCAATAACACAGTATCCATGGTCGTCAGATACTCTTGAGGGGGACCGGACTCTAGTAATGACGTAAGTTGTCGTTTACGTTCCTCGATTTTAGACGAGACGGTTGTCCAGCGGTCGTCGAGTCGCTTGACTGTCATCTGAAATATTGGCGTTTGTCTGTCCTCCTTGGAGAGATTTCTGGAAAGTTCCTTGAGTTTGATAAGATGTCTCTCGTTGCTGTGAAGATCGTCAATCTTGTGCTAAGAGAACAGAAAGCAGCATATGTTTTCAAGAAACTTGTCCATAGTTTTGCTCAAATGCATGTTAAAATGTAAGTATAATAATAATATGATAGTCTTTTTGGGGCCATGGTCATCCGATATTCAATGATTTCTCATACATGAAAAATRAAGGTRACTCTAAATATCCMYTSGCAATCCGTTTSCATCCSTCAGTTTTAAGATCGAATCTTACAGTATCTCCATTCATAGAGCATAAAGGGATAATAAAGGGTACGTTTTTCTTTATATTACAATGTATTATTATTTTCCCACATAAACAAAAGCTCGCAAAGGATGCCGGCTGATCATCGACCTTTAACTATAATCCCCGTACTTACCTTGCATTGATCCAACTGTGATTTGATCTCATACTCATTATCAGGCATTATCCCCAACATGTCCATAAACCGTTCAACTTCCTTTATAATCGTCTCTACTTTACTATTTATATCCATAACCTCTCGCCTCTGCCTCGCGAGGGACGCCTTGTGCTTTTTGTCGTCTATTAATTTAGTCACAGTCTCCCAGCGTTCATTGAAGGTTTTGAGGTTGTGTTCAAACGAGACTGGAATTGTTCCCTGGGAACGAATCTGCTCCATGATTTCGTCTCCCTTTTTCTGGATGGCCAGGACGCTCGGTTTGCGCTGGTTTCTGGCACCGTCGAGAGACTGGGGATACAGAAAACCATTAGCTGATTTTGTTCAAATAATTACTTTAACAGTCTCGTTCTTTTTTGTCATATTTCTATATACTTTTCTATATTCCGTTATTTTTTGCCTACTTCCGTTCATTTTTTCATATTTCATTCATTTTTTTAAACGTTTCATAATTTTCCTATATTTCGTGATTTTTCCATATTTCGTGATTTTTCCATATTTAGCAATTTTTCCATATTTCATGATTTTCCAAATTTTATGATTTTTCGTTATTTTTTTTTTCAATTATTTTTTTCGTACCTCTAATATTGAATACTGTCTTGACAATTCATCACTCGACATCTTGTCATTGTCAAAATTCATCTTTGGTGACTTGAGAGTCATTTCTGTTTCGTTCAACCAATAAGTCTTCTCGTCGATCTCGAGTTTGAATGGTTGGAGTTTGGACTCTACACCTTTTAGCTGAATAACAAACAAATAATAATAACTCGTGAGTATTAACTCGATCAATAATGACTCGAAAGCCTAAAGTCGATCTATAATGACTCGAACGTCTTAACTCGATCAACAATGACTCGAAAGTCTGAGCTCAATCAATAATGCCTCGAAAGTTCATAGACTTAAAACTCTATAATGATAGCAAAAGAGGTAATTCAAAGTTAAAGCTTTTTATGTCGATCTGTTTTTAAAGTGAAGACATAAATTTTGCGATTGCCGCGCATTTTACAAGAGATTCTTAAGCAAATGATTTTTTCCTTTGATCCAACATTGACTGTTTCAAGTAATCAAACATCTCATCTTTTTTTTTATTTAACACTTTAACGAAATCGGAGTTTGCATTATCCTCCGTTGCAGACGTCTCATTGAGTTTGCCAAAAGATCGTCTGCAACTGAGGCTAAGTTTGTTTCACGGATTTACATATTCCTCTGTTCAACTAACCAGTGCGATTCTGTTACCAACTTCAGTAGTTATCTTATTCCACTGATCATTAAATTCCTCCATCTTATCCTGGATGTTGTCCAGTCCTGGCGAGTCTTCATCAAGATGCTCAGCCACGCGTTCAGCCGCCATGTTGAACGTACCGAAAGTGGCTTGCTGAGCTTCCATTTCTTGTTCTAAATCCTGGAAAAGGAAGTACAGTTAGCGTAAGGATACTGGGGAAAACGCACTGCGCACACTCAGAATACAAGAAGATATATATATCAGCATTTCATGGTTCCTTGCGTGTCAGTTGATAAAATAATTTCAAACATTTGATTTACNAATCCTGTCGAAATACAAGCAATTGTTGGATGAGGTTTGGTATGATATGGTCAATTATCATTTGATTTTGTGGAAATATAAGCAATTGTTGGATGAGGTTGGGTATGATATGGTTAATTATCATGAAATCCTGTCGAAATACAAGCAATTGTTGGATGAGGTTTGGTATGATATGGTCAATTATCATTTGATTTTGTGGAAATATAAGAAATTGTTGGATGATGTTTGGCATGATATGGTTAATTATCATGTAATTCTGTGGAAATATAAGCAAATGTTGGACGATTTTGGGCATGATATGGTTAATTATCATGTAATTCTGTGGAAATATAAACAATTGTTGAATGATGCTGTGCATTATATGGTCAATTATCATGTAATCAGCCAAAATATGCACATTTTGAGGAAAGGACATCACCTCGTGTTCATGAAACTGGTCTTTCACGACATCAACATTCAACGACACGGCAGGTTGCGACCTGAGCTTTGATTCTGCCTTAGAAAGCCATTGTAAAACCTCTTGTAACTGAGCATTGTATTCTTCCCAGTCGTGATCACCGACCGAATCACGATTCGAGCCGACAGAATCTCGAAAAGACCCGACAGAGTTACGAATGCTGTCTGAGTCGTAGAAGGAGTCTGGTCTACCTTGGAGAACGTGCTCGACCTTGAAAAGATTGAAATAAAGAAGTATTACAGACAATCACATCATCATCATCATCATCATCATCATTATCATCATCATCATTATCATCATCATCACCATCATTATCATCATCATCATCATCATTATCATCATCATCATTATCATCATCATCACCATTATCATCATCACCATCATTATCATCATCATCATTATCATCATCATCATCATCACCATCATCATCATCATCACCATCACCATCATCATCACTACCATCATCATCACCATCATTATCATCATCACTACCATCATCATCATCATCATTATCATCATCATCATTATCATCATCATCGTTATCATAATCATTGCATCATCAACATCCCATAATGCATCTCGCTACAATGAAGATGACGACATAACGGTAAGAAACTTTTATCGTCATATCTATCGGTCACATACCACTGTGGTAGCKGTTTGTTGGACTGGTTTTTCTCTGATRTAYGARGTCTCTGATGTAATGTACTTGCTTGGTTCGCCATTACTGCTCGAGGTTACGATCTTTGAGCGTTTGACGTCTCCACCACTACTTGTAGTATATGAAGACGTAACTGAGGAAAATTTGATAAAACAATAGAGAAACTATTACTAAAAACATATGTTCAGTATCTGTAGTAATTGGGGGCCATTATAGTTTAGCGCGGTTTGAGTTTCTGCTTATTTTCGGTATTCCTGTCATTTTTGTGGCAGTTTTGCGGTTGTGAAGACATTGCTCGGTTGCGAATTTGCCGATTATTTTAGCGCTGTTTACGCTTTCAATGCACTTTTCTGTCCCCTATAATATTCTCCCTAATACAGCATCGAACGAAACCTTCTTTTTGACTGCTCCCTAGGTACAGCTATTGTTATTAGATTTGATTTTGATTTGTTTGGAATAGTTTCTATTGCTTGTTCATTGTTTTCTCAACTTATCATGATATTCGTTCCGGTCGGTGCTGACTGCCCCGTCATCTACGAGTTAGGTTTAAAAATAGCCGTTTTGCGAATTTTGCCTCGTAGTCAAACACAAAAGAGTCAAGACGAGGCGCCGTGCATAAAGCTAAGAATGACTGAATACACGGCGTCTAGTATTGATTACTTTGTGCGTGACTACCGAGGCAAAATTCGTAACATTGACTTTATCAATGCCATCAAAATGAATGAAAACTGGAAATCGAAGTCCAGGTGAACAGCGGTCGTAGGCAAAGAAACTGCAGGTAGTTTCAAATGGTTTCAAGTTCATCAATTCTATTTTTGTTTCCTTTTATTTACTTCACTTGAACATTCTTAATAAAAAGTGCGTGACATACCATGACATGACATGCCAACCCGTGACATCCCTTTGCGTGACTCACCTGTCCGTTTCACTGTAGATGAAACTTGAGTGCTTTGCATTGTACGAGTCGTAGTACTAGTCATTGTGTTACCGTGTGAATATGCGTCACGCGAAGCAAGGACACCATTTGAATCACCAGAACTGACAGTACTTAGCGTGATAGTGGGTGACAACTTATTGTATAGCATAGCGACGTACATCATGATAGACTTCTTATCAGGTCTGTCACGCGTGACATCTGTAACGCAACAGAAAGTCATCAGAGAGAAGGAATTTTGTTTGGAATTCTAAGGAACTTCACATTTGACAACGAGTACGAGATTGAGTACGAGTACGAGTTTTAAGAGTGCTAATTAATCATGAATTGCATTCCCTTTGAATAGATTGAAACATCAAAAACAAAAACACGAAGTGGTTTGAAATCCGTTATGGATAACACAATATAAGTTCCCTGTTGTCGCTGCTGCTGCTGTTGTTGTTATTGTTGTTGCTGTCATGACGTTGTGTGCTGTTATTGTTGTTGTTGTTGTTGTTGTCGTTATTGTTATTATCTTCGATGTTATTGTTCTGTACTTGTTGATGTTGATCGCATGGTTTTGTGTCTTGTTGTTATTGTTGTATGTTGTTGTTGTCGTCGTTGTTGTTGTTGTTGATGATGATGTTGATGCTGTTGTTGTTGTTGTTGCTGATGATGTTGTCGTTGTTGTTGTTAGTGCTGATGTTATGTGTTGTTACATGGCTGTGTATTGTTGTGGTTGATGATGATGATGATGATGATGATAATGATAATGATTGTTAATGATATTACCTTCTGGATCCAGGAGACGATCGACACCAAGTTTATCACGAGCAACGTTGAATGCATTCTCGCAATTGTAAGACGCACTTTTTCCGATCAAATTATCAAATTTGACGAGGTCAGGCCTATCAAGTACAAACAATCAGGTTAAAATGTATGTTAGTTAGGCGTAACTGAGATGTTCATAGTAGAAGTGAGAAGGATATATTCGCACTAATAGACCTTTTACGTCATGTACCGAATACGCAATGCATTGTAGGATATGTTTGGGACAGAACATGGCGGATTTCTTTTGTTTTCTCGAGAAACTGATACCCACAATGCATTGGAAATCAAGTAGTGACGTAAAAGGTTCAGAAGTCTATTTTTGTCAGTTACCTGTATCTATGTATAAGTGCATTGAAAGCAAGACCATCTTTCCAACTTGTAGTAAAATTATTGATGTTAACATTGCTGTATCTAAAACACAAAGAAAACATTCGCACAGAATTATGGTTAAAAACGAAAAAAAAAGTTTATGATCACTTACTCCTTGGTTGACTGCCTACACCAGCGCAACAGCGCCTCCTCAGGGGACCCCTGAAAGTCAGCCATCAGCGATTGAAGAGCATGTAAAAGCTGAAACGAAAGATATAGATTTAATATGGAGAAAAATAAATGAAAGAGAGAAAAATACATGAGAGAAAAATACATGAAAGGGAGTAAATTAAGCGGCACTTTATTTGAAATTATCTCAAAATCCGATGATCACACGATGGAAAAACGAGCACCGAAGACATATCGACTGATTTATGATACTTATTAATCACGCTCATCCACAAGTGTCTGTCATTGCACGCTCAACGACCACCTCGCTTCGATGTAAGGCACGGTTACATTTCAATATGGCGCAGGGAACCGTGAAGGAGACTATTGTTCAAGTCTAATGTTTGAGGAGCAATCACTTATTATCAATTGAAGGTTAATATCGCGCATGACCTAAAAAAGTAATAGGTGTGAAACTTAGGATTATTTACCAATTAATTTAGTAATTACATCTCATTTAATTTATTGGCTCATTGACCATGGGAAAAGTTTATGCAATAAAAAAAAATAGTGACATTCTCGAGTTCCTCCGGTTGCCGTTTGGGACCAAATATGAATTGCTTGATTTGTTCTCAATCTTTCTGGGGGTTTTTCGTAAAAACTATCTTAGCCAAACTTCTGTCGCTGCCATCTTTGAGCCAACATTTTTACTTTCAATATTGCCAACTCGAATTGTTAGTTGCATGACTGAACGCCTACGTCACGTTAGGTAGATAACGCAATGTCTTTGCGCTTATCTTCAAACGAAATCATTCCTATGTATTTAGAATTAGACATGTCACTTCGAATTAAGAAAAAAATAGGATTTAATGGTTTAACTAAAATTTACTGTAATTTCAAGATTTGCATGTAATTCTGGTAACGAATCATCTGGGAAGCTATTCAGATGTCCAAGATACGGATTTCTAATGAAGAAAATCATTTTAATGTCGCTTAGAACATTAAGAAAACCATTCGAATGTCACAAAAGCCACCAGACGTTTAAAGTCCCTGGGAAATCGTTAAACTCGTGAACACTTCGCTAACAGGCTGGGAATAACACGCCAGTATTTACCCTACCGATAAGAATGCTTGATATATTGGTATTGATTGCATTTCAATCAATTAGAAGCTCTGATCGGACTGATATTTTGCTACAGATATTTACTATAAGATCGCTTATAAAACAATTAGATTCCTTGATGTATTTAAAGGTGTTGGATCGAGGAAAATGAAATGAGACGGTTTAAAGGTACGGTTGATTACTAGGGGGTCGCGGTACGGTGTACGTTCTGAACAACAGCCACTAATCACATGTCACATTTATAAATCGACCGGTTGTTAACGCTAAAAGCCTATAAATCCCATTTCACTTTATCAAATACACGCGATTGTAAAAAAAAACTCTTAAAATCATATCGAAAAAGTCTCGCGAATTCAAAACTATCGTAACATGAGGAAAATTGTTTCACTAGTATCGTGGGGCTTAGAAATGCAATGGAATGACCTTTGGGGCTCTGTTTTGATAAACCACACAAGTAGAACATTCTTAATCCAACGAGTACTCTCAATAAATTACAGCGTTAGATCTACATATATGTGTTAACTGGAGAGGCAACTGCCCTCTGTAATAATACAGTTTGGGCGTTTTCATCTAAAGTGAGTAAAATCGGGGGCATTGTGCGAACAAGTTAAAAGTAAAAGGCCAACGGAGAGCTCGTTACAATATCAAGTATCGACACATCAATATCTAGCCAACATTTCACGATCTTTACGAACTTCAAGGCTCACGACGGACATCTGAGTAAATTACCACTTACCTAAGGTAGACAGCAAGGTGTGTATAGAGTTTTAGTAGTAATTTGCGACCAAGAAAAGAGTTCTAAGGGTAATTATAGTATCAGTACGTCTTCGGATCAACAAGGGGGTATTCGATGCGATGTTTAGAAAACAGAGATTCTTTGCATTTTTGGTGATAGGATAGTCATCAGTGTCAACACGCCACTTGACAGATTTAACAACCACACTCATTTCACGGTGTAACGACAGGTGAATGCTGCGATCTTGTGTTCGAGAATTCATTTCCAGTGTGGCATTAAAATGGGTTCCATGTTTAAAGCGACATTCGAATGGTTTCCCTGACATTTGAGGGTTTTCTTGGTTTGTTTTTTGCTCTGTTGCTATTGTTGTTGTTAGTGTTGTTGTTGTTGCTATTGTTGCTTACTTACAATGTAAAGACAAGAGATTGCTTTGATGTAACATTCTAGAATATATTCCCATTGTAACACTGAAATGGTTTCCACATGTTAAGCGACATTCAAAAGGTTTCCCACAGCCATTCGAATGGTATTAACTGTGAAAAGAATTCTGTTACTTTGAAAATATTTTTTTTCTCCTGACATTCGATTGACTTACATGTAAGCAGCAATGACATTTAAGACAGGGAAACCCAAATGGCTTCCATGAAAAACTACAGACTGAGGAGCATGCCATTCTCAATATTCGAAAGGCCGAAAGAAGTGACATTTGGATGGTTTTCGAATGATGTCATTTGAAAGAGTTYGATACTGACTGGACTGGTATCCCWGGGTATGCCTGTCCCAACATKTGAATGGTAACTTCCCTTTACAGGTGGCATTCAATTGGCTTCCCTGTAGAGTGTGGCATTGAAATAGCTTCCCTGCTATGTTTTTAAAAATTCAATATAATAGGATATTTGATTGTAGAGATATCAGAGTGGACAACACAAAGAAAAGTGAAATGCTTTTGTCCTAAAGCTTCTACGTTTATATCACTAATCGAATACTTGATCAAAGATTCGATCGCTCTTGATCAAAGATTCGATCGCTCTTGATCAAAGATTCGATCTCTCTTGATCAAAAATTCGATCGCTATTAATCGAAGATTCGATCGCTCTTGATCAAAGATTCGATCGCTCTTGATCAAAGATTCGATCGCTCTTGATCGAAGATTCGATTGTTTCGTGACAATACAAAGGTCACTGATTTAATTCATTGTGTTGACAGAACTTAAGGAGTGAGGTGTCAGTATGCACTCCTAATAAACAATACACTGGATTATCCTTGTGTACTTGAGACTTGATCGTATTTGACTTGACAACAAAACCATGTCTGTACCAATCAAAACCCCGGCTTAAGATGCTACAAGAGTATCGCAAGAGGTAAAAACTTCACTCAAAAGAATCTCAAAAGAATCTCGAAATTTCATTAATGTAAAATATAGTAATGCTTCAGGCAAAATCATGTGATAAGCAATTTAGTTTTCAAATGGTCCTCTCCTGCTATGACGTCATATGATGTTCTGCGAGATGCATCATGGGATTGACAAGAAGTCAAACTGAAGCAATGTTATTGTGTGTCAAATAACAAGGAGTTGAAATAACTCCACCCAATGGAGTTAAAGTTACTCTACCCGTTGGAGTTACTATTGAAAGAGAGTTTAATATACTCTACATTACGAGTAGTTTTTACTCAAGAGGTTTAAAACAACTGGGAAAATGAGTCACAAAATCACTCCAAAAGGGTTTTAAAATCGCTCTTAGAAGAGGAATTATTCTCCCACAGTTGAAGCTACAATTGGTGGAGTTCAATCTACTCCAGAAAAAGAGTTATCTGGTACATTTTTATAGTCAACTTCTTTGGCTAATTTTGAACGGCTTTTGAGCAGAAATATTATTAGGGCTTTATCTAAAATATCTTTTTACAACAGGTACCGTACATCTCGTTTGGAAACTTGTGCCATTCATTGTTTTTATAAGTTATCCGCCATCTTGAAATCAGACTTCGTCGAATCAGACTGACGTCATACATAGCGAAGGGAAAGCCTCATTTTTATAAAATATAAAGCAGACATCCTGGACCTACCTGGAAATGAGATATAATGTTCCAAAGAAGACCCAATGTAATTTTGGGATTTCCGTCCACAATGTCATTATTGCTGATCCCAACTAACTTAATCTGAAAATAAAAGTAGCATATTCAACAAAGGTTTTCATAAAGAAACGCATAAGTGCAAGCGTAAACATGCCTTAAAGGCCCATGGTTATCCGGCATTCAATGCGGTGGTGTTTTAGATTTTTCATATAGAGCGGATTTCGTATATCTGTGCAAAAACCACGGCACCTTCGCGCCGTGGCCGTACGGTGCAGTGACGGTGATGTATTATTGAATTTTTATTCTCATTTGGAATCACTGCAATTTTCCTTAACAACTTGCATTATGTTTTGGCCGAGGTAAGTTGAGAGCCAGAATCAAGATGACAGACTTTTGACGTAAGAAATTACCACTGGTTATAACAGCGTACGTAACTCGAAAATTGCGAGAAAAGTTGCTGGATGGTTAATACACTGTGCAATGGCGACGCAAGTTGCGGAAATTCATTGCGATAAGTAGACTTGAGTTTCACTTCACATACAACGATACACGCAACAAAATAAGCTGCGAGACGACCCCTGTTACACATAACAATAGTCCCCTTCACGGTTCCCTGCGCCATCTTGAAAGGAAGCCGTGCCTTTGCATCGAAGCGAGACAACCGTTGAGCGTGCAATGATAGAAACCTTCTTTCACACCTACAGACAATTATTCACAGGTATCTATCATTGCACGCTCAACGGTCGTCTCGCTTTGATGTAAAGGTACGTCTACCTTTCAAGATGGCGCAGGTAACCGTGAAGGAGACTATTCTTCCAGCAACTTGCACCGCCACTGCACGGTGTAAATGAGTGCATTTGTAGATTAAAAGAAACTTCTTACTTACATTATAGTTTTCAAGGGCTGTCATAGCATTGTTGACGTTGTTGAGGTGATGGACGCGTAGCCGTCCCCTTTCACGCCGCTGCAAATGCAACAAAACGTTAAAGGTTACTTGGATAAAAATTGAGAAACATTAGAAAAGACTTGGACATCAAACAGACTTATCCATATGGGTCTAATAATCATGAAGCAAAAGATTTCAAAAAGATATTGATACAAATCTTTAATAATTTGGGCAAAAAATGTTGGAGTAGGTGACGTCATTTACTCCATCCTTTTGTTCTTCCATCTTTTGAATCAAAATTTCTTTGATGTGGGATAATTCCGAAACAAATATTTTCCCGCAATTGTTTTTAATAGAYATAAATGAATCATATATTTGTATTGCTTGARGTTTTGAAWTAATGGCATTTTCATGCAAGTAGCACTTTAAACCTTTGTATACGTCCAATTATAACATATTCATTATAAGGGTGAATGGCCTGAACCCAGTTGTTAGTGATGTAGGTGTTATATCAATGTCCAGGTGTGAGACGTTTGAGGAAGATGGAGTATGATCTCTATTTGATCTTATGTTCTTACAATATAAAGTCATTGCTTCCCCCCCTTCCCTGATACAATGTTGGTAGTTCTAAATGCAAAAGATACAGGTCATCATCCAACAAGAGGCAATACTGAATCAGGGGGGGAGAGATTAAAGAAACAGGATAAGTTTAGACCACAATGCACAGGGTATTGCAATTTCAGAAAAGTCCTATATATTGCTGCAGCAACCATGTTGCATTTTGGCAATCATAAATATAATCTAGTGAATCTCATTACATCCTTTTTTAAATGGTTGCATATTTATGTAATACACCTTTTCAGTTGCACTTATAGGCCTCGATAGCAAGTTAATTATTCTTTTGAATTTGACAAATGGGACTTTTCTTATCAATGTTTGCATTGCTCACATTCCTACAAATTAAAAAGAATATTTAACACGCTGTCGATGCCTAAGAGCAACTGAAAAGGTGTACTGAAAAATTTGGTACTTACAATTTTCTTTCCACACAAAACTTCCAATAATGTTAGTAAAGTTGTTCCATCTCKCAGGTCCTCAAAMAGATTGTTGACACGCACTTCAGAACCAGACTGGAAGAAAAAAAGTTTTCATGTTTGGAGTTCATTCTTTTGGAGTACTGGAATT